GAGAGGAGCACCTACCACACAGACGTCATTCAGACTGGAAAACAGCCCTGCATTCCCAGACACGCCACCGAGGAGATAGGCTGTGGGATCATGCACTGTCATAAACCAACGCCAAAGCCAAAGCGCCAGAGCCACGCTTCAGTTTGTGTGTCACGACTTCAAAAGGAAAGCAGACCCTTGATGGACTGAGAAAAGAGATATTTCCGGGAAAAAAAAAAAAAAAAGGACCGGCAGGGGGGGGAAGGGAAGCACGCTTCAGCTCAGGAGGAAAGGGGGAAGCATAAGAAATGAACAAATATTAAAATGAAAAAAACTAGCCCGAGATTTAAAAAAGTGAAAAAAAAAAAACACTAAAATTCTAAGATGTCAATTTTGAAAATGTAAAAATGAATAAAATGATATGACAATGCCAACAAGGTTGACTCTGATATGATAAAAAAAAACTAGACCGAGAATCCGAGAGTTATAAAAAAAGTTCAAATTTAAAAAAAAAAAAAAAAAAAAAAAAACATTAAAATTCTATGATATACGATCCAAAGAACCGAACCCTTCGTCCTTCCTGTCCTACTTGCCCTCTATACGTGAGGGGGGGGAGAAGCAGTCGGACTCCCAGTTCCAAACAGTTAAGGGCCTTAAGGGGCCCTTTAAGGGCCCTCTCACCACACCCCTCTCTCAAATTCGTCCAATTCAAGACTGGTGTCCTCGCCACACCAGCTCTCGTTTAAAAAACAAACAAACAAACAAACAAACAAACAAACAGAAAGAAAAAAAATTGAGAGTTGTCAGATACGGGGATCCGAGAGCACTCTCGAACTCGATCGAGCTCCCGAAAATGGGCCGGCTGCAGCTCAATCGAGCTCGAGAGGTCTCATTTTCGGGAGACCTTGTGGGCACCTCCGGAAAAATTGCGTCTTTTGGCCCCTCGGCGCTGGCGACATCAGTCTTTTCCATGTGGTTGGGCCGGGCCGCCCAGGCCGCCTGGGGCCCCTACTATGCACTGCATGCAGTGGGCTAGCTGCCTCATCGGAACAAAATAGCTGGAAGGACAACAGACAACGGACTGGTGGGTTATAGAAAAGGCTGTGGCGTTTAGCGACTACCATTCTCGAACCCATCGGGGTATTGAACTCATGACCACTCTATTAACATCCCACGTGCACCCCCTCCAGCCTGTGGCTGGTATGAAGTATCTGAGTTTCGGACTTTCAAAATTTAAAGAAAACAAATATTTAAAGAAAACAAACATTTAAAGAAAAGTTTAAACAGTAAGAATTGTCAAATACAAGAGTCGACCAGACGCAAGGATTTAACACCGATATGTGATCACAGGATTAAATGAAGTAAATATTTTAATTTATAAAATCCTTATCGAGGTAGCAACACCGTGCCAGTTATGGATTCCGTACCATTGATTGGTTCGTTGATACCCCTCTCTTTTTCTTTTAGATAACATGGAGGAACCGTAGATTCCGTAGCTCTGCGCCTAAGACGTCCTCCGCATGTAAAAATTGTTTTGTTAATGAAGAGGCCAAGAGCGTTACGTGCATAAGTAAAAAAATTTGGAAAATGAACAAAAGAACAGCCAACAGAAGTGGAAAAATAATTTCAAAGTCCGGCTCCGCCGCCCCCAACGAAGAGTGAAAACAAAACAAAACAAAACAAAAAAAATTAAAACGAAGAGGCAAAACAAAACAAGCAAACAATACAGAGAAACAACGTCATCTTACAAACTCTCTCTTTTTTTTTCTTTTCTTTTCTTTCTTTTTAAGAAACAGTTGTTTTATTAGGGCCCCGTGCCCAAGGCAGAAATACAATGTCAAAGAGCTGCAGATTCAGGGGTTGGAAGGTCTCCAAACCTGCTTCATTGGGTGGAGCCCCTCCCCTGTAGAAAACCGCCGTCTTCCAAAAGAAAATCTACCAAATCA